CTGCTAAGCTCCAAATTATTTAATATCAAGACAGAGAATATTAACGATTTGTACTGAAAGTCGTCTGTGATGTTTTGCGTAGTACATTTTCTCTCTTTATTTATTATTATTCACTTAGAACTTTTAATTTCGGTTCTGGTTTTAGTTTTGATGTGAACTTGAAATTCTTATCGGTTTCTCTGAGAGCTATAAGCTTCATTTCTTCTGTAATTATCGTTTTTCAGCAGTAACCCGTGAAAAACTTTCAAAAAATGTCTGCAGATAAACAGAGTTCGGATTTAAAAAGACACGCGTTCTTTCCAATCTTATAATTTTCTAAATTTTATTTATTAATAACTTGAATAGACAAGAACTGTAAGACTTGGAATACGAAAATTACGACATCGCGAAGTCATATGTGCAGTGCGCAAGATAAAAATCGGACCACCCTGAATAACTTTTGATCTAATGATCGGATCTTCACGTTCTAGGACTCAATCTTAAAGGTTCAAAGGGGTGACCTCAAATATGTCAATCAATAAGTGCAGACGGTATTATAAGTAACAAAATCAGACGCAAAAATGTATTTTTTCTGAATAAACATACCTTCTTTTTTTTTTTTTAACGGATTCTGATTTCTGACTCTCAAAATTTAGGGGGAAGCTGCAATCTGGGAAATATGGTTTCAGTAGTTTGGTTAGGAAGGCGCGGAAAGAGCGAATAATAGCTAAAATTTTTGGCTTCGACACTACGCATACGAATTACTCCGTATCGCTCTTTAAGAATAACTTGTAATTTTTAAATTCCACCAGAAATTATAATTTAATATTAAAAACAATCAAATTACTCAAATTCAAAATTTCGCTCATCGTAAACAAAAAATTTGGAATTTTTAAAAACATAGCTATACTCGCCGTAAATGCTATCGAAAACCACAGAAATTATGATTGAAACTGCACAAATTAATCAAATAAATAAACAATGATGATTTTAAAAAAGAAACAAAGATATCTTCCATATTTTTCGCTTTTTCGAATAGGATCGCATGCATAACGGACAGAAAAATGCCCCGCCCTGAAAAAGTTTGTTGCGAAAGTGTTCTAACTTGTCATAAACATACAATTTTTGTATATTAAGTACTAATACTTTGATGGAAATTAGTGGATTATTTGAATAATAGATTTATCGTTATATGCTGTTTCGTTACATCGAGTTTTTACTGTATTAAAAAAATTATATCCCGAGCTCTTATTCTTGTGACTTTTTTGAAAGTGTTTTCCCATTTCATTGAAGCTGATCATCTGGAAACCAACCTGGTGCTCAAGAATAAAACAATTCTAACTTGCAATTCATTTTAACAATTAGCTTACTCATTGTTTATGTTTGTTGTTTAAATACAAAAAACTACCATACCAACAATACTCTAATTTAATTGTTGCAAGATTAATAAAGAAAAATTGTTTTGCTTCAGTCATTTCCATTTTGATAGTGGTGCGATCAACTTGTTCTTTTTAAGCTCTTTTCAAAAAAAAGTGTTTTAAATACCCACTGACATTATGAAGTGGTTTAGAAGGATCTGCAAGTTTTTTTCCAAATTCAATTGCTGTTCAATGCACAACGTTGGACAGGGTGAACATTGTTCACTTGCAATTGGATTTTCTGAGCCAGACAGAGTAATTGTTCTGTATGGCCCAGAGAGATTGATTTAATCTCTCTGAATGTCCGTGATAAGTAGCATCAGCATGTTCTGAGGGTTACGCTGTGTCCGGACCTTTTCTTGCAGTTGCTTTTTCTGTGATTTTTGGCTTTAAGACAATTAAAAATCAAAACATTGCTTGCATTTTACACGATTTTTGGCCGAAGGACAATTAAAAATCGAATCACTATCTGCTTTTTATACGGTTTTTGGCGGGACAATTAAAAACCGACCCTATCCGATGTGGCACCACCTTGTCGCGGTGGATAGGCTTTAAACAAAGAGTGCCACAACAGCTCCAGTAACTTGAAAATAAAAAGAGAATACTTATATCACAGTGCATAAAACAAAATTATAAGTTTACATTCTAACGTAATAATACTTCTAAATGAAAATTTATATATTATCCACTGTTTAAGCTCATGGAAGATATTGAATGTTTTTAAATAGCTACACTTTTAAAAAAATCTTTTAATCACCATATTATTCATAATTAATATCACTGATTAAAATGCCTTAATTCATGTAACTAAATAGCTTTAAAAAATTTCATTTAAATATAAGGATATAATTTAAAATTATATATTTTTTAAAACTAAGAAATATGATTTGATTTGATTAAATAAACCCTCGCAATTTCAATTAAAAACTTGTGTTTGATTCAATTTAAAAAGCAAAGTCTAACTGTTATCAAACATTTTAAAAATTTTATCCATGTCAATTTTTGATTATTGTAAACCCAAGAAACTCATATATTTTATAAGGCTTGAAAACGTAACAACGAATCTTAAAAGGAAGTCTTCCGATTCTTCTTCTCTTCTGAAGGGAGTCTTCTGAATTACATTTGATCTGATGATCAGATCTTCACGTTCTATAGTTCTCAATGTTAAAGGTTCAAGAGGGTGAAATCAAACATGCTAATTAATTAGTTTTTTTAGTATATTTTAAGTTACGATATAAGACAAAAAAACGGTCTTTTTCTGAATAAATATATCTTTTTACGATGGAATCAGATTTTTGATCCCAAAAATATAGGGATAGCTGCAATCTTGGACCAAAGTTTTGACCCCTTAATTTTAATTTTACTTTTAGCGTATTTCGCCCATATCTCAAAAAATTTTAAGCGAATAAATTTTTTTTTAATACAATTATAAAATTTGTTCATTAAAGGAAATTCCTTGCAAAAAATAACTTTTAGTAAATATTAATTATTTTATTTAAGAATGGACGAAAAAATTTCGAGTTGCATAATATAAAACTTTTTGCATAATTTCAAAGAATGTATTTGTGCATGGCAAAATACAATATTTGAGCAAAATCGGACGAATAGTTCTGAAGAAATTAACTTTTAAAAATACGATTTTTCTCAAAATTCCATTTATCGGAAACTATTCGACCGATTTCGTTTATATTTTGCTATTTAAAAGGATGAGAAAAATTGAATGCCTTATAATTCATAATTTTTTCGATTATTATTAAAGAAAATAATTAAAAAAAATATGTACTAAAAAAAAGTTGTATTTTGTTTGGAATTATCTCTAGATAAACGAAGTTTGGATTCGTGTGTAAAATATTTTTTAATTCGCTTAAAAATTTCTCGACATATGGCGAAATATGTAAAAAAGTAAAATTAACATTAAGGGGTTTAAATTTCGGCCCCTCTCCTGACCAAACTATAAGAATTATTTTTCTCAGATTGCGGCTACCCCCTATGTTTTACGGGTCAGAAATTCGAATCAATCGAGAAAAAAAAAGGAATGTCTATTAAGAGAAAGTACGTTTCTGTGCCTGATTTCGTAACTTAAAATATCGTCACTAATAAATCAGCATATTTGAGGTTACCCCCTCTAACCAATAAGATTGAGTCATAGAACGTGAAGATCCGATTATTAGATCTAAAGTTATTAAGGATGGTCTGTTTTTTTATTTTGAGCACTGTACAAGGAGGACGATGGAACAAAAAAAGAAAAATTAAAATTCGATAATTGGTTCACGTAATTGTTAAACTAGTAGTGAAAGAAAATGTCAGCTTATCTACTGCCTGTTCAAATGTAACAACAGAAATGAAATTTGACGTGATGAAGGAATTTTTTTCTTCTAAATTCTAAACGCGTCTTCCGCATTTTTTTTCTTTATTTAATGACTATTTAAACATTAGTTTAAAAAAAAACTAATTTCTCTAAAAATCTTTATTTTATATGATTGTAACAAAAATAAATAAATATTATGTTTTAAAAAAAGAGGATTAGAGTTTAGATTTCTATAGTAATTTTTAAAAATATAAAAGACTGCATAGTCACAAAAACTCTTTCCAATTTGAATAGTTATAACGACATTTATCCTGTTAACGAGTAAAATTACTTCTCGATTATTCCTTGAATAAAATTACTTCTCGATTATTCCTTGAATAAAATTACTTCTCTATTATTCCGTAAGTAAAATCACTTCTCGATTATTCCTTAAGTAAAATTACTCATCGATTGTTCCTTAAGTAAAATTACTTCTCAATTATTCCTTAAGTACAATTACTTCTCTATTATTCTTTAAGTAAAATTACTTCTCGATTATTCCATAAGTAAAATTTCTTAGCGATTATTTCTTAAGCTAAATTACTTCTCGATTATTCCTTAAGTAAAATTACTTCTCAATTATACCATAAGTAAAATTACTTCTCGATTATTCGTTAAGTAAAATTACTTCTCGGTTGCTCATTAAGAAAAATTACTTCTCAATTACTCCATTAGTAAAATTACTTCCCGATTATTCCTTAAGTAAAATTACTTCTCGATTATTCCTTAAGTAAGGTTACTTCTCGATAATTCCATAAATAAAATTACTTCTCGATTATTTCTTAAGTAAAATTACTTCTCGATTATTCCTTATTGAATGCCACAAATCTGTATTCCCTATGTTAATTTTTTTCTCCCAATTATAGTAGATTATTTTTAAAAATCAGGTAATCTCATTTCGCTACGATTAACATACATCTTACAACATCATACAACAAAATTTTCTCACAAAAAATTACGATAGTTGTTGTTATTTTAATAACAAAATGTTCTTTGTTTTTGCGGAAAATAAAAGAATGGAAAATTAAACAACTTTTAAGGATAAAAAAAAACAATGATGAATGGGAAGTCAGTGAGCGAAGCGAGTAGAGCGGTAAGACTATTAGATAATAATAAAATAATTGATAGTTTAAACATGTTTAAATTATTTTGTAAACATCCTGCCATTATTATAGAAAGCATGAATGTAAAATTCCACCCCCATTCGATACTAAAGACTGGGGGAAAACTTTAAACGAAAAAGAATAAAAACTTACTTTGAGTGCCGCCAATTTCGGCTCTTTTTTGAGTAAGCTAACGAGGGAGTGATAATCGCACTGAGAGGACTTCACAAACCATTCTTTTTTCAACTTTGGATCTAACTGAAATAAATAAATTAATGATAAATATAGGTGAGGGAGGCGATAGGCAGGATATCTACACTTGATCTAGAGACTCTTCGTAAATAATAATAATTAAAACTTTTTCTAGAGGCCGAACTGTCGAAGAGACGGAAAATACTATAGTTTGTCTGGAGTAAAAACTCCCCTATCTATTCGTCTGGACCCGTGGCGGTGACTATGGTAACGAGGTATAACTATTTCAAGTAGGGGTGTGGAGCATAGAGTTGAAATAGTAGGTATTTCAACTCTATGGTGTGGAGTCATTATTTGGTACCGGTTTAGGCTCCGGTCGGCGAGAGAATTTTTTCTTCGGTCTACTGTGTTAGTCCTAAAGGGAAACGAAGCTACCCTTCCTTAAATGAGCTATTCTTATTTCCATAGCAGCACACGGCCTCAGCATTTGCGGCGGGCCCGTAGTTCTTGCCGTAGACAAACTATACATACACTCTTTATTTACAAGAGAGGGACAAAGTATCCGGTAAAAATATCCTCAGTGGTAAACGGATCATGGGTTAGAGTCCCCTTGCCGTCAGGCTAACAGTAGGAGGTTCTCGTGGTCTTTCTCTCGATGAAACGCAAATGCGGGTTAGTTCCATCCAAAAGCCTTCCACGAAGGCAAATTTCTCCCAATACTTGATCCAGGAGTTCCCTTGTCTTCTGGATTGGGTTCAAAATTACAAGGCTATGGAGTTGAACATTAGTAGTCGTAAATCCAAAAGTTGGGTCGGCAGTTCAACAACGGTTATAAAATAAAATAAAATAAATCAATACCTGGGCTGGCTTGGCCGAGGGGTTACTTCACTCGTAAAATAAATCAATACCTGGCCGGGATAGCACTGGGCCCGTGTCCAAAAGGTCGTGGGGTCGATCCCTTCCGACAGAAAACTCCTCGTGTAGTAAAATGGTGACTGATGCACGTTAAATCTGTCAAGTCACAAAGTCCTCCATGCTTCCATATCAAATCATACCTCTGGAGGTACTGATCCAGGAGTTTCCTTGTCTTCTGGATTGGTTCAAAAATTACAAGGCTACGGAGTTGAACATCAGTAGTGGTAAACCCAAGATTGGCTCGGCTGTTCAACGACGGTTATAAAATAAAATAAATCAATACCAGAGTCGCGATGGCTCAGGGGATAGAGCGTTCGCCTTCCAATGAGGAGATCGGATTCGAATCCCAGTCGATACGAATTTCGCATCCGGCTTGCACCGACCACATTGCTGACGTGAAATATCCTCAGTGGCAGACGGATCATGGGTTAGAGTTCCCTAGTAGCCAGGTTAAACGTGGGAGGTTCTCGTGGTCTTCCTCTCCATGTAACGCAAATGCGGGTTAGCTCCATCAAAAAGTCCTCCACAAAGGCAAAATTTCTTCCAATATTCGATCTAGGAGTTCCCTTGTCTTCTGGATTGGGTTCAAATTGGCAGGGCTACGGAGTTGAACATTAGTAGTCGTAAACCCATAAAATTGGGCTGGCTGTTTCAACGATGGTTATAAAATAAAATAAATCAATACCTCAAGGAGTACTGATCCAGACGTTTCCTTGTCTTCTGGATTGGCTCAAAATTACATGAACATTAGTAGTCGTAAACCAAAAATTGTGTCGGCTGACCGTGTGTCAGTGTAGTTACGCCATACGTTCGTTAATATATGAAATGTTTAATGTTCTTAATTTTAACGATATTTAAATAGATTGTGTTTTCTGCACTAGAGGGCGCTGCAAGCTCTTGACTGCCCCTACTTCCGGGTAATGTGTTTTGAAGCCATTTGGCTCATAACTTGATCATTGTGTTTTGAGACTCTTGAATAGTGTTTCTCGTATGCGTGTATTTGTTACCTGATTTATTATTTGTGTTTAAAAGAAGAATTCTTATTAGAATTGTCATTTGAAGACCTGTCATTTCAAGACGTAAGAATTGTCATTTGAAGAAAAAAAATAGCTATAAAACACTTCTTACCTTGTTAACAATATACCAACTTCGAAATTTAAACCTAAATGGTAATTTCTAAATTAAACTTATTATAAATCCTTTAATTCTATTTAGATATTACTTTATACACATTATATTGTTGTGTTGTTTCTCATGACACTTGGGCAACCCAAGTACGTCCGCATTTGTCATTGCGAATTAAGTCAGGAAGGAGCGCCTTTCCTTTGACCAAAGAGCACCGCAAANCATTTTTTTCCCTTTCTATGTATTGCTTCTGTAAAAATATGTGACATTTCTTTTCTTTTCTCTTATAGAAGTCCAGTAGCCTGGATGATGACATATCCATATCCGTGGTAAGCATTGCTTTTTTACATATTATCAATATATATATATATATATATATATATATTGATAATATGTAAAAAAGCAATGCTTACCACGGATATGGATATGTCATCATCCAGGCTACTGGACTTCTATAAGAGAAAAGAAAAGAAATGTCACATATTTTTACAGAAGCAATACATAGAAAGGGAAAAAAATGTTTTTACGAAGACATTATTTCAACATTATGGTAATATTATGTGAAGTTTCAGACAAAATGAATTCGGTGGTTTTTAAAGGTGTTATCAATAGTGCATGCGGGCCAGGATAGCCAGGTCGGTAGGGCACTGGGCTAATGTCCGAGAGTTCGCGGGTTCGAACCCCACCAGCCGAAGACTCCCCGTGTAATAAAATGGTGACTTATGCACGTTAGATCTGTCGAGTCGCAAAGTCCTCCATGTTCCCAGAAACCTCTGGGTGTACTGAATTGGAGATTGATCGTTCTCTGATACAGGTCAAAATTACGATCTGTGGATGAATGAATGGGTCACACCCTATAAACGGGTGTGACGTATGGGTGTGGCAGAAGTCGAATTCTTGGCCATAGATAGCGCCACTGGAAAACAAGAACAATCGCTTCCCTCTGCTTTAATAGGCATACGCTAACAACAACAACAAGAGTGGATGCTTCTACTATTTTTAATACACAAAAAGATAAATGAGAACATTTCCTTCTCAAGATGTAATATAACGGAAAACTATAAAAACGACGTCTTTTAGACGTTCACCATCGCTTTGCTGTGTGAATACTTCTGCTATATTTATATCTTTTGCTGTGTCCTCTCCATAGCTTAAATTTCTCCCTCGATTTTGCTTTTTTTTACTGCGATTCGTATCTAAATAAAAAAGAATCTGGAATTTCGAACCATGTTAAGAGAAAATTTTCCCCAGAAATTCCTTTTTTTCACAATTTCCTTTTTCCTTCATTACTAATTTAAAATTTAAAGTGTAGAAAAATTGAGTTCAGACAAACTTAGAGTTAGGCCATGAAGTTTCAAATACTGAAAAAAACTTTTTAAAATATACAAATGAAAATAAATGATGAGAAGATAACTTAGGATTGCGCAACGTAGAAGTTCTCTTCGAATAATTTGCTTGCATTTTAATATTTTGAAGTATTTTCTTCTTCCAGCAATTGAAACTTCATTACTTACTCTCGGTACGCCTGAACTTACTCTTTCTTTCGTTTTAAATTAGTAATGAAGGAGAAAGAGAATTCGCGAGGAAAATTTTCTTCCGCGGTATGGCGTCCTGTTAAGAATTTCTTTTCTGGTTCTTTCCAATCTATTCAAAAACAGCTATCATATAGAAAATGTGTTCTTTCAAAATATTTATTTCTATTAAAAAAAAGAAGAAGAAAATTTAATATTAATAATTTATTATTACTGAGCCGTGATGGCTCAGGGGATAGAGCACTCGCCTACCAATGCGGCGAACCGGGTTCGAGTCCCGGTAGATACGAATTCCGCATCCGGCTTGCACCGATCACATTGCTGATGAGAAATATCCTGAGTGGTAGACGGATCATGGGTCAGAGTCCCCTTGATGTCAGACTAACCGTGGAAGGTTCTCATGGTCTTCCTCTCCATGTAATGCAAATGCGGGTTAGCTCCACCAGAAAGTCCTCCACCAAAAGTCCTTTTCTCCCAATACTCGATCCAGGAGTTCCCTTGTCTTCTAGATTGGGTTCAAAATTACAAGGCTACGGAGTTGAACATTAGCAGTCGTAAACGCATTTTATTGGGTCGGCTGTTCAACGACGGTTATAAAATAAAATGAAATTTATTGCTATTATAAGACTCCCCTTCTTGAATTAAGAACTTTCCTTAAGAACCCTTCTTTAGTATACTTCGTTTAAGAATTTTTTAATCAAAAAGAAAATAATGAATTAAACAAGCATTTCTCATTATTTATACTACTTATATATTACCTAAAATAGAAAAAAAAATTATTGCTATAACGTCATTAATAATGAACAAATTGAAATAAAACAGATTGCAAAAAAGTGCTTTTAGACACCAACCATTCTAATAAATTTCCTCTCATGATGACGACCAAAATAAAATGCTCGTATAGTTCGTCGAAAGTAAGAACTCCCCAAATCAATCGTCTGGACAGGCGGCGGTGGCTATGGTAACGAGGTATAACTATTTCAAGTAGGGGTGTGGGGTCATTGCTGAGGTCGGCGAGGGAAAGGGAATCTTTTTGTTCTGTCTATTATGTTAGCCCTAGAATGAAGAGAAGCTACCCTCCATGAAATCAGCTATTCTTGTTTCCATAGCGGCAGACTGCAATAGACTTTGTGGAGGGAGGAGTTCTTACCGTAGACAAACTAGAGTATTACAAAGTGGTGTTCAATCTGGTGGCTGCTCTATTTACGGTATGGTCATGTGCTGTCGGTGTGATATGGAAATCCTGATAAATCCAAATACGAACTCAGTCATATGAGCTAGAATTTTTACCCTATAAAGAGCCACGATGGCTCAGGGGATAGAGTCAATCAGGTGAACCTGGTTCGAATCTCAGCGATGACTGGTCGATACGAATTCCGCATCCGGCTTGCACAGACCAAAGTGCTGACGTGAAATATTCTCAGTGGTAGGCGGATCAGCGGACCCCTTGTTTCCATAGCAACAGACGGCCTTAGACTTTGTGAAAGGGGGAGTTTTTACCGTATACAAACTATACTGAGACAGTTTTAAAGACTCACCTGATGTCTTTAACTGTTGAATTGTTTCTATCATTTTAAAATGATGCAATATTACTATATATTTATAAAGTATACATGAACAATAAACGAAACAAATATTTTTAAAATTTGAATTAGAAAATTCAGTACGAAATCTGTAACAGACAAGAGGGAGTGTTAAGAGAACGCCATAGCGCGGGAGAAACTTTTCATCGCAAATTTTCTTTCACCTCCATTACTAATTTAAAATTTGAAAGAAATAAAAAGTGTGTACAGGCAAACTTAAGAGTAAGCAATGAAGTTTCAATTGCTGAAAAAAATAATTCGAAATATCAGAATGCGCAAATAAATTATTGGAAGAGAACTTATCTAAAATCCTAAGTTATCTTCATTTTCATTTTGATACTTCAGAAATTTCTTTTCAGTATTTGAAACTTCGTGGCATACTCTAGGCTTGTCTGAACTCACTTTTTCTATATTTTTAAATTAATAATGGAGGGGAAGGAGAATTTGTGACAAAAAGTTTCTCCCGAGGTATGGCGTTCTCTTTAGGAGAAAGGGTTACTTTTGGAAGCACTCCAAATATACGATAAATAAATATTTAAAGGAATTACTAGTTTAAAAGTAGTTAAAATATATAATAATATTTCCTAAAGAGGTGACGATTACCATATTGGGCATTCATTTGATTTTCTCTCTCGAAAAAAAAACAACCTTTATTTAAATCCTAATTAAGGAATCCTTATATTTTAGGAGTATCACGCTTAATATCACGTACTTCTGGTGGTCTGTTTTCCTTCCCCCCGAAGGATCTTTTTTGCTTCTTTTCCATTTCCAGAAAATGCTGGACTTTATCTTTCACTTTACCGGAAATCTTCTCTTCTATCACAGCAGACTAAAAAAATAAAATTTAGCTTTATTAATAGTTCAGATTTAACGTGAAAGAATAATGGGAAAAACAAAATTACTATTTATTCTTAAGAGAGAAAAAATATATACATTAGTTTACATACATTTTCTTAAAAGCTTTTAGTGTTCAGACTAATTGGATATAAATTGATTTCCCGAAAATCAAACTTTTTGAGGAGTACCCGTAAAGGGACGTGCAACGCAAATGAATTTTTAAACTTGACTTCGATCTTTTTTTTCAGGCAGACACATTTTTCAATGTCGTTACCACCGAAACTATTCATCCTAATCCAATTTAGTTAGACTTGCAATCCAATTTACAGGGGTCTGTTTAGAGGAAATTTGTGTCCGTTAACGGACTCTTCACAAAATATCTTTTCATAAAAACGGACCCTTCACAAAATATTTTAACTTAAAAACGGACCCTTCACAAAATGATTTTTCTTTTAATTGGACCCTTCACAAATTTGTTTATCTTCATTATTGTTTTGTTAATCGAATAAACCCTTCCCAGGGCAGAAAACAAGAAAGATGGATGTAAACGAATTAAGTTTTGTCTTCGGCAGACGATTCTTCCATTATTCGTCCGAAATGAATATTCTGCGTTCAGCAGTATAGGCTAAATATTAAATGTAGCATCTCTAATTTAGAAGCAGCAATTGCTGTTTATTTTTGAAAATTTAACTTTTTCATTATAATTTTACAGTGCCGAGCATAATCTTGTATCTATTTACAATTTAAAACGTCCTTGAAAAAGTTTTTTGCAATAACCGGACCCTATTTGTACAAAATCGTAAAAGCGGACCCTGGTTGAAAGAATGTAAGTAATTTTTTCACAATTTCACGAAAAACGGACTTTTCACAAAATGTCTGGACAGACCCCTGATTTATGATGACATTTTTATGAGTCAAATTTTTTCAACAATGATATCTCTTTTATTTATTTTTGAATTATTCAGGGTTTCCACTCGATTTCAGAAAAAAAATTTCCGGCGTTTTCCAGAAATTGCAATGGGTAAATTGCAATGAAAATTCACACCATATATACCATGCAATATTTCATCAGAAAGCTTTGACTTCTTTTTATTTCTAATGTCAAATATTAGATTTCGCGAGCAAAGCATATAGTAGAATGAGAATGGAAACATGGAAAAGTAAAATAATTGTAATAGATGTTAGATTTAAACTCGAATCCCAAGAACTGATTTTACTGTGACTGACAATTCTAAAACTGGTTATTTTCCAAGTATTATATTGGAATCTTCCAAGTTTTTTGTAAAAACTTGCAACTCTCCCTGACTATTCCCGGATTTTTAGAGTTAAAATAAAATGCCGGTTAGTTCGAACCTTGGCCAAAGGTTCGAACAAAAAGTCCACGAACGCGAAATTTCTCCCAATACTTTATCCAGAAATTCCGTGTCGTCTATATTGGGTTCAAAATTACTAGGCTACGAGACTGAACATTGGTAGCAGGGCTCGAAAAAACTCAGAAATTTTACCCGTCCCCGAGGACGGCTCGTCCAACAATGCACCCGTCCTCCGTTGAAACTAACCCGTCGCTTTAAAATGAATAAAAAAATAATTTTCTCCTACTTATTACAAACATTTATATAAATTGCACAATGAATTAGTCGTTACTAGGATTACATTATACAGTAATAAAAGAAATACTAGGTTACTAATAGTAACCAGTATTTCTTTTATGAAATAATTTAAATGACAAGGGTCAAGTTATCTGGAATGTCAAGTTATCCGAGGGTANCATTTCGATAATAGTTTTAAATTCTTGTAAATTCACTGCAAAAACTGAGGAAAGTCATTATAGAAAATAACAAATGTCTTAGAATATCTCGCAAAAAGAAATGATCCAATATTAGTTAGAGCTAGTAAGGCCAAACGCTCCGTTCTTGAAGTAAAAGTGCGAGCTTTGCGCCAAAGTGACGTCGGAGGATCAGCGCAGCGAGAGATACTTCGAAGGAGTGAACCAGCCCTTCTATTCTCTTTAGCCCTGGGAATCTTCCAAGTTTTTTGTAAAAACTTGCAACTTTCCCTAACTATTCCCGGATTTTTAGAGTTAAAATAAAATGCTGGTTAGCTCGAACCTTGGCCAAAGGTTCGAAAAAAAAGTCCACGAATGCGAAATTTCTCCCAATACTTTATCCAAAAATTCCGTGTCGTCTAGATTGGGTTCAAAATTACTAGGCTACGAGACTGAACATTGGTAGTCGTAATTATGTCGGCTGTTCAACGACGGTTAAAAAAATAACTGACAGTTTATTGAATCTAAAGTTTTGTGCCTCAATGCATTTACGATCTGAACATTTGCTGCAACATATAAATTTGCAGAAACCGAGAATCCATTTGTCATTAAGATGGGAAATATTTGATTAATTGAAGAAATAAAAGCTTAATAATTTTTAAATAGCAGTTAGCTCTAAATCCCATAACAACAAAATGGCATTTGTATAATTTAAAATTACAGCTTTTTTTAAAGTTAATGTACCTTTTTTTCCACCTGAGCGAACAACAATCCAGAATAAACGTTATTCCAAGATTACGTTTTTCGAAGATATTAAACGATTTTTTTCGGTAAACTTTCAGGTAATATTTCAAAATTATTTAAGAAACCTATTCAAGACAAAATTCTTGATGGTCCCATCAAAACATTTTGATGGTTCATATTGGTTTCAGTGCGATTCATGATGGTCCAACATCATTTGATGGTTACCATCACCCAAAGTTTTTTATTATGCGTTCATGGACTTTGATATGCCAACAAACTTCCATTATTCCATGATTGAAGATGCTACTTTAATGCTATGATGGTTAACCATCAATAGATTCTCGTGGACCAACAATCCGTGATGGTTTCAACTATACATTTCCATGATGGTTTAATGGGAATTCTTGTTGGTTCTCAGGAATCGACACAATTTGGTTCCATTTTTATGTTGGACCATCATAAATCAGTCTAAATTCCTACATTGAGATGGTGGTGGTTCATGATTGTTCCAACATTTGATTTCCAAGAAACTATGATGGAAATTTCTGATGGTTCAACTTGAAAAAACTATCAAAACAAGTTGTTATTCTTATGTTAAACCATCATAAATCAGTCCGAATTCCTACATTGGGGTGATGGTTACTTGTGTTGGTTACAATCAAAAATGTAATGGTTTATGATGGAATTGTTGATGGTTACGATCAAGATTATGTTGGACCATCAATGGAAAACCATCAAAAATTCTTACTCGAGTATAATCGCCCATTCATACATCAATTCAAACGATAAGGTAAATTTTCTTACCCCAGGGGTTTCTTCAATCTTTTCCACCACAGCAGGCAAAGAAGAATCCTGAGATCTCCTCTCCGGAGGTTGAGGTGGGATTTTGTCAGTATCTTCTGCCGATCTTTTAATATCGTTCATCGAAGATCTATCTTTAACCGTCGCGCTTGTATTGTTTCTGGACTGGGTCACCGGACGATTGTCGATTCTTTCAGGAAGATTGATTGCACTTAAGGACTTGTTTTTCGGAAGACAAAGTTTAGAAACAGATCTAAAATAATTCGGATCCGAAAAAATATCTTTGTCCTCCACATTATCGACCATGGAAATAGACCGATGACTCATTTTTTTATTCTCAAAACTCCCAATTCGACTACGCTCATTGGTCTGGTGAATTTTGCTACCATTCCTACTAGGGTGGCAGTTTCTATCAACGTGCCAACTATCGACGTCTTTTTCCTCGCAGCCAACGCCGCTCAATCGTCTGACGTAATCAGAATTTTGGTAAATTGGTTTGTTGAGATTGCTGTTCTGAGCGTATTGCGTTGCGCAAGGTAGGCCATTTGGTAGATCAAAAAATGGAAGACTATTGGATTTCACTGCGTCGTTGTTAGTCGGGTAGTTCAAAGGTGAACGACATTCGGTGCTCTCCTGATGATAACGGAACTCTTCAGGCCAGCTGTGAGTCGATGAATGAGCGGGAGATCGTCTCTCATCTCTGAGCGACGATAGAGAATGTCGAACCGATTCACGAGATCCACTTTCAGTCGACGCATAACCAGAGGATCCATACTGAGGGTGTCGACCAGAAAGCCAGCTTTCTGTCGACAAGCTGCTTACGTCTCTGGACAATGTACGAGAGCGTACCACTGATTCACGAGACGATAAGCTTTCGTTCGAAAGACGTCCAGAACCTACGATTCCAGACAGAGGATTAGAGTTTCGATTTAATTCATATGGTAAGCTCTCAGTGGACAGGTGTGAAGGATGCATTTTTTCGTCTCCAGACAGCGAATGGGATTGTCGAACACGAACATTTGTGGTCTGAGGTGGTGTTCGGTTCGAGGGAGTTCTAGGGTGGTGCACTCTACCATCTGGTAAAGGTGATTCCGAAATGGAGCAGTCCAGGGACTTGGATTTCGTTGAGCGCAACGCAGATTCGAGCTCTGCCTTTCTGGAGGGAGGCATCTGTGGATTGGTCGAGAGACGATATCGCCAATAAGGTTGAAAGTTTTGAGTAAGGGGCGATGTGTAACCTGATGTTGCGCTTGAATCGAAAGGGAGGCTAGTGTGACCATAGCTTTGAGGGTCTTGCTTCGTTGTGTTATAATCATATTCTTTTTTGAGTTCGATGTACTTGATGTTCTAAAGATGAGACAAAAGAAAAAGAAAAACATTTAAAAATACTCATAAAATGGCTAAGTTGAAGGAATATAACAAAAATTAATCAACTTCAATAAATAGAAACTGAAAAGAATTATAGTGGAAAATGCAAACCTAATTTAAAACCTTTTTTCTTTCAGAATAATGAAAACAACGGTGCATTTTAAAAATTAAATAGGCTGGCAGTGAGTGCTAAAAAAAATGTTTACGTCATGCTTTTGGAATAATGTATAGAACGAAGATGTACAGATTTTTTATGAATTTATAATGTAGTATGTTTATAATATGATTATGACTTTTATAATTTTATATTATGATTTTTTTTAATTATAAATGCTAATAAATGTATACTTTTTCTTAATCTTTTAAAGTAAACAATAGAGATCTCTCATATATTACGTTAACACCTAAAGACGAAAATGGATTGAGATTCCTTAATTTTGCTAACAGGGGAGGAGAGAGACATGAGGGTAGCTAACGTAAGATATTATTTCCTTATAAAATAAACGCTAAATTTGTTGAAGAAAAAAAAAGTACGAAAAGCAGTTCTTCAAAATTTAAATTACTAAATTAAAATGTAAATTTTGTTTTACGCAAAGATCCATTTTTTATTCTTAAAATTATATTAAAGTATAAGTTGAAGCAAAAATAAAAATATGCTTCACATTTCTTACGCAAGAAGCACGGGAAAGATTTTGCATTGTGCTTAGTTCTGCTTGAAAGGGGAAAGCCCACTAATGACAAAAAATAAGCTTACGTAAATATTTGCCTCATACACTTTTTATAAATGACTCACGAATTAGAAAAAAATCAAATTCAGTGTAGGTACAGAATAACAATGAGCATAGTTTATAAATTATATGCTGGAACAATTAAATCTTTTAAAAAAAAAAAAAAAAAAAAANAAAAAAAAAAAAAAAAAAAAAAAAAAAAAAAAAAAAAAAAAAAAAAAAAAACTAAGAAAAACCTTTTAACTCAGAGACCTTTTAACTCAGAAACCCTTTTTAACTCAGAAAAAAACCTTTTAATGTAAACCCAAGAAAGGTTGTTATGCGGTTTACGTGTAAACCTTCTAACCTTAAAACGAGATCTGTGACAATCTGCTCTATTCTATGCACATTACCCTAATCCAAAACCTTGAAAAACAACCTTCGATATAAAAACCTTAAATCAAGGTTGACTTAGGGTTTTCAAGAGTGAAAAAATCCTTTAATAAAGCTAGTCTCAGGGTGAAAATAATCTTAAATCTAGGTAATTATAAGGTTTATTTTCGCAAAGCTAAAATCCTCCTTGTCACGAAACTTTAATGGATAATGCAATTTGATCCTATCGCTAGTGTGACGTCATCTAAAACGTCATTGTAGACCTAAGTGACGATACTTTTTAAGAAGGCTTTAAAAAATAATTTTTAGACTTTTCAGGATGAAAGGTTTGAAACTGCAATATTTTTGCTTTATTGAAAAAAGGTTTTTAGAGTAAACCTTTTCGTGACAATAAAAAGAAAATTCCGACCACAAGGTTGCCGTAAGGTTTACATGCTTTCTGGGATGATATCCATCCTTTACGGATTTCGTTAAAGGTTTATTTGAACAGGATCCCAGTTACCACGAAGCCTAAAAAATTGCAACTGCCATCCAATATGATAACCAGTTGCAATTTTTCAGGAAAATTTATCATGAAAACAAAACGCTGTAAAGTTGATATCTATTTCATAGCACGTGGGCTCCTAAAATGTGCTGCATTTTTGTTGTTTCATTATTAAGTTTGACATTCATTGAAGTGAGTGATAAATAAAAGATAAGACATACCTGATATTCAACAACAGCGGCAACTCTGTTGATGATATCTTTGAACCTTAGGCGAGCTTCAGCTGAAAAGTATTAAGACCGAATTATTGCGAGAAATTTAAATAAAAACAACTTAATTTTGAAGTTTCATTTAATTTATATACTTATTCATTTAATCTATATGTTACCGGCAAGAATGAAATCCGGCATTGTATAGAATGCCTAAAATTAGCCGGCAAAGTATGAAATGATTTATGTTTCACACATTGCCTTGGCATTCTGTATAATGCCGGATGCTACTTTTTTAGGCAAAATATGAAATAAACGTCCTGATGAAGTTATTATGTAAATGATGTGGATGTTACTGTGAATGACAGAAATCGGCGGTTGTTGACTTTCACTGGTAAATGCTGATCACATACTCGCTTTGGTGAATGTCTGAAAAATTTATTACATTCGATTTTATATTAATTTATTCGTGGATATATTTACATTTATTCGATATTTTAATACTTACTGACGATAAATTAGAAGAAACATCAGTGTAGGGTATACCGAGTAAATGTATACCGGGCAGTGGCACTGAACCTTAAAAAAACATCAGTGTAGGGTATACCGGGAGAATGTATACCGGGCAGTGGCACTTAACAAGACCTAGTATACATTTCGGACATTTACCAAAGGTCTTGTCATACTAGGTTTAGTTACGTGCCACTGCCCGGTATACCCTACACTGATATTTTTTTAAGGTCAAGTGCCATTGTCCGGTATATATTTGCCCGATACTCCAAGCACTGATGTTTCATCTAATCCATTGTCAGTAAGTATTAAAATATCGAATAAAGGCATTTATATCCACGAATAAATTAATATCAAATCGGATGTAATAAATATTTCGGACATTCACCAAAGCGACTATGTGATAGTCAGCATTCACCGGTGAAAGTCAACAACCACCGATTATGGTCATTCACAGTAACATGCACATCATTTACATAATAACTTTATCAGGACGTTTATTTCATACTTTGCCTAAATAGCATTTGGCATTCTATAGAATGTCTAGGCATTATATACAATGCCTAGGGAAAGCATGTAATAATTCTCACATACTTTGCCTAAAAATATCCGACACTCTATACAATGCCGGCGTTTCATACTTTGCCGGTAACATACATAACTAATGGTATTCCAGATATCATTCAAATTTAGTTGACCACTATGGATGGTGTTTTCAATATGAATGTGAACAGCAACAACCTCGAGCTCCAGACCTGCTCTACTTCCGGTTAGAAAGTATACAGCTGCTTACTACAGCTTATTCTGAGAGGCGATACTTTCAAGCAGGTAATTTTACTTTTAATAAAAGAAATGAATAATATAATTTCTTATTTCAAATCTGCTGCATTTCATAAGACATTAATGGTATTTAGTAACACTAGTGAGTTTGAAGAGAAATTTTCTTTTAGTTATTTAGAGATGTATTGTTAAAATATGGTTACCAAATTTAGACAGAATTCGCTTTTTTTGGGCGTTCCGACTCGGCCTTTTTTTGCTTGTTTATTACTGTTTGTTCTTGGAGCAAGCCGTGCACCATGATTCGTTAGTGTTAGCATATTGTCCGAGCAGCGAGATTATTCATTTTACAAATTATCATTCATTTTACAAATCATTCATTCATTTACAAATTACCATTCATTATCATCATTATCATACATACGTTCATTTTACAAATTATCATTCAGGTTTCAATTTCAAAGTTACTGTATTGTTAATAAGGAAAGAAGTGTTTAATAACGATTCTTTTTGAAAATGACAATTTTTGAGTCTTCAAATGATGATTCTTAATAGATTCTTCTTTTAAACACAAATAATAAATCAGGTATCAAATACACGTATACAAAAAAAAGAGTCTCGAAAACTATGATCACGTTGCGAGGCGCTTGTGAGCCACGCACTAAAAACAGTAACTCGGTATTGAAGAGCTTGCAGCGCTCCCTAGTGTAGAAAACTCCAATTATAGCTGTAGGCTTTACACAACAATAATGAGTCTCCAACTTATATAATGGAGAAATCCTCCTTTTTTCTCTTGCCTTGCGAATTGCCCACAATACGGCCTGGCTAATTAAAAAAAGCCAGATCCTAATTAAAAAAACCCTAATAAAAAAAAATGCTTGAGAAAAATTTTCAACTTCTTTTATATCGCAAATTGTTCGTAGATGATACATAAAAGGATATTTGAGAAATTTTGAAAAAAAAATTTTTTTTTTTAAATTATCTTCTACTGAAGAGTAAGGTGGATGCTCTTTAATGGTGTGGAAAGGATATGCCTTTTGGCTGTAAACATACAGTCGCTTTTTTTTCTTCCAGATATCGATTAATTTTTATCGATTTTTCTCCTTATTGATTATCAAAAACTGCTAGATACCCAGTAATTGTCATTTGTAGATGAATTGGCGGCCCTTAGTAAGAAATATATAGTACTACTTGTACTATTTACAAATATAATGTACAAATATAAAGTAATACTTAGTAAAAATAAAAAGTTTCAATAAAATGTAGCATTTAAAGCAGTTGAGAATTGAGAATGCACCTAAAAACAGAGTTCATTGATTTAAATTAGCTTAATTTACCTCGCAATTTAAATCAAATGAGTTTTTTTTTTTTTTTAAAAATCATTGATTTAAATCAAATGAGTTTTTAAACAAGAAATCATCAATTGAATAATTTATAAAGCAATTAACTATGGGATGTTAACCATGTACGTTTTGTTGATTTTTAAAGCCTTAAAATATATTGTAAATATTATGTGTCAGTAAGTTTCGAATAGCAAAATTACGCAAATACTTGATGTGTTACAGCGAGTATTGGAGACCAGTTTTTTAACGATATTTCAAAATTTTATAATTCTTCTAAATGCAAACAAAGAACAAAGTGAAAATTTAATGTAGTTTTATCAGGAGGTGTTGATGTGCGTATTTCTTAGTAACAAACATTATGGTAAAGAAATTCCTACTAATTTTATGCACAATATTTAAAACATATATTTTTTTTCTTCATAAAGTCTAATCTTGAAAAGTGATTTTCATAAAAGAGTTCTAAAGGTTAGAAGATTATTATGTTTTAGTTTTCCATAGTTAGAACCCTTAATATTTATTTTAAAATTTTTTGCCAAAAATGAAGAAAGAATCACGCATATTAGTGATGTCACACTATTACTTAAGCGAGAAAACAATGAAACATACTATCTAAATCTGTCGAATGCAAAATTAGGAAAATGGAATGAAAAACCACAAAACCAGTTTGATTGTCCAATTTAGCAAGGTGTTTCTAAATCACCTTTAAACTCATATCTGTTTCCTAACCCATTCAAACATGTTTTGATATTTTCAGTACCATCTTTCGCAGAACTGATTCGATTCGATAGAATGTATATACTATTTTGTTTCATTTTATTCTTAAAAAAATATATAAAGGTTGATCATTATGGAATAATCAGTGTGTGTGGTTGTTTCTCAGTTAATTTAATGCAGGGTGTTCCGTAGTTATCGCTCTTAATAAATATTTTTAAAATCTGTGTCAAGATTGAGATAAAAAAAATAACAGATAAGTTATCTTAAATTAATATTTTAGTGAAGACAGAAACAAAAATACTCTCTAAGTTCAAAGAAACACTATAAAAAAGAAAGCTAATCTAAAAATATCCAAACCTGTTTGATTGTGGAAGTGTTTAGTTGAAATGATATTTTTATAAACATATACCAGGCTATTAATCTGATTTTGTCGTTTTTATTCTATCTTCACTAGAAATTCGGCGAAGTTTGATCATGCATTTCTTTATTCCCTAGATATTAATTTGCATCGCTCAATTTGTTAAGATTTTTGTCTTCTTTCAGGGGACTGTTTAGAAGAAATTTGGGTTCGTTAACGGAACCTTTACAAAATATCTTTTCATAAAAACGAACCCTTCACAAAATATTTTAACTTAAAAATAGAACCTTCACAAAATGATTTTTCTTTTAATCGGACCTTTCACAAATTTGTTTAATTTCGTTATTGTTTTGTTAATCGAATAAACCCTTCCCAGGGAAAAAAAAAATAAAGATGGATGTAAACAAATTAAGTTTTGTCTTCGGCAGACGCTTCTTCCATTATTCGTCCGAAATGAATATTCTGCGTTCAGCAATATAGGCTAAATACCAAATATTTGTATGATGCATCTCTAATTTAGTAGCAGCAATTGCTGCTTATTTTTGAAAATTTAATTTTTTTTAATTATAATTTTACAGTGCAGAGCATAATCTTGTATCTATTTACAATTTAAAAACTGCTTAAAAAAAGTTTTTGCAATAACAGGACTCTAATTGCACAAATTCATAAAAGCAGGACCCTGGTTGAAAGAATGCGACTTAACGTTTATTTTTTATTCTCAAATTACGAGTAAGTTTTTCACAATTTGACAGAAACAGGACCTTTCACAAAATGTCTGGACAGACCCCTGCCTTTTATTGACAAAGATAGTAGAAAGAGCCGTGATGGCTCATGGGATAGAGTGCTCACCTTCCAATGAGGTGACTGAGCTCCAGCGATGGCTGGTCAATACGAATTCCGCGGCCGGCTCGCACCGACCACAGTGCTGACGTAAAAAAACCTCAGTGGTTGACGGTTCATGAGTTAGAGTCCCTTTGCAGTCACGCTAACCGTGGAAAGCTAACGTGGTTTTTCTCTCCATGTAACTCAAATGCGGATTAATTTCATCAAGAAGTCCTCTTCCACGAAGATAAATATCTCCCAATACTTGATCTAGGAGTTCCTTTGTCTTCTGGATTGAATTCAAAATTACAAGGCTACGGAGTTGAACATTAGTAGGCGTAAACTCAAGCAATTGTGCCTGCTGTTCAAAGATGGTTATTAAATTAAATAAAATAAAAAGCTAGTAGAAGGCTCTATATTAAAGGCGGTGAGTATAAGCACCCTGTATAGAAATTATCTCTCTTTTTTTAACAATCTATTTAACAATTATTTAATTAACAATTATTTAACAATAACAACAATTTATTTAACAATCTGAGAGCCGTCAAGTCAGAAGAGCTCCACCTCATCATATTGTTCTCTTGTATTACTTGATTCAATAATATTTTCTGCTTCTATGCTGAAGTAGTTAATAAATTTCATTTTTATGTGTCTTTTATATTAATTTAAAAAATCAAAGGGGTCTCTAAAATAAATTGTTTTTAGGATACAATAATTTTTAAAAATATTACAATACAGTCAAACTCGTTTATAACGAGCTCGGATTTAAAGAGAACTCGGATTTACCGAGGGAAACGAGAATTTTTGGTTGGATCAATGTTAAGTCTATGGAACAGAAGTCGCTTTTAACGAGCAAGACCCGGTTATAGCGAGCAATATTTGTCTGTCTTGCAATCTTTTTTCTAGTCTTTCTGTCTTATCTTTTTTTCAAAATGATAAAGAAATGCGGGGGAAGGGGGTTAGTTGTCATTAAATTAAGAAAAGTATTTAATTAAATTAATTAATGTAATTAAAGTAAGTAAGTATTAATTAAATTTTAAGTAAACTCAATCATTTGACCTCCCAAGCCCCCCCCCC